CTACAGATTTCTAAATGCTGTTAAGATTAAAATAGTATTTAGAGCCTGTGTAAGGTATCTGCAGCTTTTTTTGAAGACCAACTGTTTCAGCTCCTGTGTTTGTGCAAGACTGTAGTGAGCCTGAAAATGGAAATTAGATACCAAAATAATTAAGGCATTTTTTAAAAATCTTACCCTCTGCTATGCAGACTTTTTATTCCTACAAGATAGGAAACTGAGAAGCAGAGAAATGAAGCAGCATCACAAGATACGCACTTTACCAAACATTGTTTACGTACTTCAATACCTCCCTTGCCAACTATAATTACTTGGGAGTTACTCAGGCAGGTCTAACAGATAGACGCAGATCTCAGGAATCCTGTGCCGAAAACCATGTCAGCATATGCTAAAGAAGGTCATAAAAGACCTTCTTAGTCAAAAGCAAAGTTTTGTGAAATCAAACTATCATCAGACTAAAATCATTACTTTTATTCTAAATAGTAGATCCATAATGAGGGAAAGCCATCAGTACAACATAAATCATCCTTCCTGGAAGAAAATATTTGGAGACTTTGTTCTTTCAAGATATTCATCCTCCAGAGCAAGCTTGTTACCAATGGCTGTTGTTCTTCACCCAGACTGGATGTATCCTCTGACTAAAAAGCACATAAAGAGCTCCCTCACACACTCTATCAGGAGCCACGGCGCTACAAATAAGAGCAGTCCAGTGCGTATTATTAATGACAAGTTATCAGATGTTCTAGGACCACAGCCAGACAGGAGTTTCACTGTGCTGTGATTCTGTAGAGAAGATAAACCCTTAGCCAGGTCAGATCCCTCAGTTTCCCTTATTCTTTTCTCCTCTGTGCAAAGATTTGTGATAAACCATTTTGTTGCAGCCGGGAGGTGATTGCCCTGCCCTAAAGGGCTTATAACTGAGCTTTCACTACAGACAAAGGGAGCCAAGTGAGGAGACACTGGGTAGAGGCACAAAAAAACCCCCCAACATTATATAAAAAGGGCAAAGTGAATTTTATTTCGGTACCAGTTAAATGTTATTAGAAGAGTTCAGGAGCACACATTTTGGCAGTTGTTAGAGCTGCAGTACAAGCCTCAGAGGTTAAATTTTCTGAGTGGCTACAGCTGTACCACCTTCTAAATCCTTGGGTCCTGATTTATTCATAGCATTAGGAATGCAAAATGCAAGCAGAGGGAAGTAGGCCAACAAGAGAATAGAAAGCAGGGACACAGAGGAACCAGTTTCTTCATTCCAGCTGAAATGAAAACAGGTTGAAATTATTAACTCTTTCAGAGCAAGCTCTCTCTGAAAGGGCAACACAGCCTGATGCATAAAAATGCACAAATGAGTCTCTCCCCACAAAATAAAATCATAATTAGCAGAAACACAAAGCAAACATGGCTTCAGAAAAAGAATTCAGCTTAACCCAACGCCAAGGCATTTGCATTTTCAGATGCATAATGCTCAGGCCAATATGCCTGACGGGGAGGGGTTAATGGCTTTGGTTCTGTGAACTGTGGACCAGATGTTCAGCTGGTGCGACTCAATATAGATCCATTAGAAATTAGTGGAGCTATGCCTGGAGCTCACCCCAGACAGGATTCTGGCCCTGTACTTTGAAATCCCATCTAATACCCACTGAGAGATTTTTCTAAAGGGAAAGGCCTCATTTTCTGGAAGCATCTAAACAGGCTACTAGAAAAGCTGCAGAATGTGGTTGAGCTGGAATGACCGCTGCCCTGACCTGCTTGTAATATTACAAACCCCCTAAACCAAAAGCATGTAGAAGCCTCCTGAGAAGGCAGACCAGACAGATATTGGAGCAAGTCATCAACTTTTATTCATGGGGAGACAGGACACAAACCAGCATTCCCTGAGATGAGCTGATACTAGAAATTTGGACACTGAAACAGCATCCTCCAGGAAGAAAAAACACACTCGAGAGTAGACTCAAGTGACATGAAAGCATGTACTTTCTAGTGAAACATATTGAATATAATACCCTCAGACAGAAGTTACAGGCCTGACCTAAACTTAAATATTCTGGGGTGCTGACTGACAACATGAATGTGAGCCTTAGATGAACTTTTCATCTTGCATTGTTCCTATCAAACAGTACCATAAAACAGTTGTTTCTGCTACTCTTTCATAGTGCATACATATGGCACGCACCTTACAATGGGCAGGAAAGGGCACTAGAGCTAAATCACTGATCTGTCACTTAGCAGGAAATGGATGGGTCTTGACTATCTCCATTTTAGTCCTCAGAGCAGATGCTGTGGTCAGCCAAGTCTTTGAGCATATGCTTATAATAGAAAGTGGTCTACAAAATTTACCACGGTGATTAGATGGTAAAGAGTGAGCAGGGGCCGGGGAAGGGGGGAAGGAAGAGGTACAGTAGCACATTCCTCACTAAAAGGACCCATCATCCATTGAAGTGGAATGTTAGTAGAGTCAGATATTTAGAGAAAAAAGAAGAAAAAAATGTCCAGATGCAAAAGAAGACAAGAACTATCAAGGCGTACAAAGAGGCTAAGTCATCTCAAGTGCCCAGTAATACTAGGCACATCATTGCTGCATGGGAAGGATTTTAAACAGCCATTTTGACCAACTAAGCTGACATTAAAGGAAAGTTATCTGCCCTGTTACTTTATTTCTGCACGTCTTAAGCGTCCAGCCTGTGCACATGAATGACAAAATTGTACACAATTTGTTTAAAGACTTTTGTAACACAGGGTATAATAAAAGACCTGTGATACTGCAACAACAGTCTTCCATAACGTGATTCTGTGTTTTCTCAACCAAACACCAACCTCAGGGGAAAACTGATCTCAGGGACCAATAACTATACAACATTCAGTATATCCTAAAGGATTCTGCTATAAGCCTCTTTAAATACATTTACATACATCACACACTCTTAAAAATCTAAGCACCTTTCACAACTGAAATGAAGCCTCTGGCAGCACCTTCCAGTCTGACAGGAATGCTACAGAGCTCTGCTCCTGCCACAAAAACTCCGAGCAGCACCCAGGTAACATGAAGTCTGTCTTCCTGGCTAGAACTAAATGCTTCTTTGAGATGTTCTGTATTTGCTCCTTTTCCCACTGAATGAGCCTGCCCTACACAGATCTGTAACTGGGTCCATGTCTCCACCTCATGTTTTCCTAGGGCTGTCAATCCCTCCAGCCTTATTCCTATACAGAATCCCAGTGCAGCAATATGGAAGTACAAGTCTGGTCAACATCGGAAGACAATTGTATGGTGTAAGGACAAAAGCTAAGGATTAAGTTGTCCTTAAGGAATTCAGTATACAGGCTTTCCAGCATAAGTGCTAGCATTTCCAATGCCTTTCTGAAGATAGCTTCATAGAAAAATTATAAAAACAACTATGGAGCTACAGTGCTCTCCTCCTTGGGTCCTTAGCTGAAACATTTAAGGAGTCTAACAAGCAATAGGCAACACTGTGATAGGGATTGCCAGCCAGTGGTGTTGGGATAGTTCTCAGCCAACAAGCTGAGCTGGTCCAAAACAACAGTACCAGCCTTTAAAGGAGATAACTGGTTATATGTTAGGGCCACATCTTAAAACATATACACTTGGAGGAATTTGTAATTTGTGGAGTTTCCTCTGCAAAAAAATATAATCAGGATTTTTGAAGATCTGTTTCTCTTGACAGAAATTAGCAAGCAGCACTTACACTAGCTGGAATAACACAGCCAGATGAGAAAGGGCAATACTTTAGTCTAAGCAGATCTCTGCAAATCTCTCTTTCAAAGTCTGCAGTGAAAGATTTTCTTATTATCTGGAGAGAATATATATACACATATAAATATATATATACATATTAACCAGGTCATCTATTTGAGCCGAGAAGTATGGTACTCAACCTAGAGCCAGTCTGATTTTGAGAGGATGAAGAAACCAAACACAGCCTTAGTGGCTCTGGAGTCACTCTCAGGACTGATTCCGTTACTGGATCAAAGTACAGATTCACAATGCAAAATTCAGTATACTCTGACCCATCTTTCAAGTGGTTACAACCTCATTTTACAGCAGTGAAATAAAGTTCCCTCAAATTTTGGAGACCTGAGTTCAGCTACTCCCAACTTCTACTCACTGTTAAAATGAAATGACAGGAGAAGATACATTTTGTAGCAGAGTTCCTTCAAAATGGCATGTTGGAAACATTTTACAGAATATAAATTATATATATGTACATGTATAATATACAACACATACAGAGCTAAAAACACAAAAAGGAAAGCTACATTTGCACTTATTAATAGAAAAAGGTGAGCTGGTGGCAACATTGTTCAAATGCTCAAATCATCAATAAATCATCAACAAATCATCAACAAATCATCAAACTTACAACAAATTTTCCAGCTGCATTAGAAGAACATTATAAGCAATGTTAGCAAAAAATCTCTTTTGGAAGCTTCATAAATAAAATGAAGTTCAGGAAGACCAGTTTGGTCAGCCTGTTAAAAGCCAGTATATACACGGTACAACAGGGAATTGGGAAACTCGTAGTGCTCCAATCCAGTAAATGTACAGTATCCCTGAAAGGCTGATTAAATTGTTTCTCATTACCTACTGTCAAGGAAGGCAAAGCAGGTCAGGGATCAACATTACTTATAAATGAAGCAGCACTGCTCATTGCAGTTTTGAGCTGGAAAATGTTTGTTTCTCCATCAAAGCAGATACTCCAACAGAGAAAAACAAGGATGAAAAATGTGGATGATAACATAACATGAGCTCAGCAGCTTCAGATCAGAGAAGTTCAGCAGAAACAAGAGGGGGTTCAGTGTTAGTGAACCAAGCCAGCCTAAGCATTCCTTCCGTGTCCTCACTTTCCTAAAATAGATGTCAGTTCAAAAATGCAGACAAGGGTAATTGCTCTGTTTCTTTCCTCTGAGGAAGGAAGAATTAGTGACGCAGTCCATTACATTCTGCTTTCCTGTTCCGGATGATAGAAAGGCTCCAGTGAGTCCCAGGGTCACACTTGCACATTCCCTGCTTTACTGTGAGAGGCCTGGGAAACACGATTGATGCTGCTTTCAATAAAGACCTTGAGGCCCTTTAAACCTTGTGCATAGAGATATTCCAGATA